GTCTGCCCCCAGCCCACCGCTGGGGCCACAGTCAGACTGGTGCGTGCCTTCTCTTCCCCTCTCCTAGGGGCGGGATTCACTGTGGGGTGGGGTGGCCTGTCTGGGCTACTTGCACACTGCCAGGCTTGTGATGCTGGGGATCTGGCGTCTTAGCTGGGGTGGGTAGGCAAGGTGCAGAGGGGCAGGAGGGGCAGGCTTAGCTTGCTTCTCCTTAGGTGATCCACTTCAGGAGGGGCCCTGTGGCAGCAGGAGGGTTTCAGATCCGCTGCCGGAGGTTTGGCTCAGCAGAAGCGCAGAGTTGGGTGTTTGCGCGGAGCGAGCAAGTTCCCTGGCAGGAACTGGTTCTCTTTGGGATTTTGGCTGGGGGATGGGCGGGGAAGATGGCGCTGGCGAGCGCCTTTGTTCCCCACCATACTGAGCTCTGTCATCCGGGGGCTCAGCAGCTTTCCTTCCCTTTGTCCTCCAGCCTTCCTGCTTTCTGAGCAGAGCTGTTAACTTATGACCTCCCAGCCGCTAAGTCGCGCTTGCTGTCGGAACACAGTCCGTCAGGCACCTCCGCTTTTTGCAAGCCAGACTTGGGGGCTCTGCTTGGCCGGCGAGCCGCCCCTCCGCCCCGGCTCCCTCCCGCCAGTCCGTGGAGTGCGCACCGCCTCGCCGCCCTTCCTACCCTCTTCCGTGGGCCTCTCGTTTGCGCTTGGCTTCGGCGACTCCGTTCTGCTAATCCTCTGGTGGTTTTCTGGGTTATTTAGGCAGGTGTACGTGGAATCTAAGTGATCAGCAGGACGCGCGGTGAGCCCAGTGTCCTCCTACGCCGCCATCTTCCTCTGGGTCCCCAAATGATAGAATTATAGAGATAGGGAATTGATTAGAATGAGGGATTAGGGATAGAGGGGAGAGGTATGAATACAAAGTAAAGTCATTAGAGAGTTCCATTTTTGTGATGAAACAGTTCTGTATCTTGATTGTAGTGGTGGTCCCATGAATATACACATGCTATAGAATGGCACAGAACTACACACACACACACACACACACACACACACACACACACTCATATAAAAAGAGATGAAATCTAAATAAGGTTTATACCAAAGTCAATTTCCTGTTTTTTATACCATACAGGTTAAAGACATTAAGACAATCTAGGTGAAGGATAGGCAAGGCCTCTCTGAACTATTTTTACTTTCCATTAAAGTGTAATTATTTCAAAATAAAAAGTTTAATTGAAAAAAAAGACCACCAATAACTGTGGCTAATTCTAAGTAAATGGATTCTGTGTAATGGTTATCCTTCTTCATATTTTTTGCCATTTCAAAAATTATTCAAAGATATATTACCTTTATAATTTACATTTTTATGAATTTTGTATTATTAAAACAGTGAAAACATATAATCACGAAAAATACTAGAAATAAGTGTTCTGAAATACAAAGAGAATTTATCTCTACATGATGATAGTATGAATGCTTTTTTCCTCTTCTCTATTTTCAAGTCATTTTGTATTTTTTTATAATTTAAAAATTGCATTAATTTTAATAAATCAAATAAAATTCAGCCAGAAAATGTAAAATAATAAGGAAGCACTCTAAAGCTGATTAATTCCAACAAAATGTGTTAAGCAAAAAGTGCAAAATCATATATAGTATACTAATTTTTGTTTAATAAAAGAGATATAAAAAATGCATGTATCAGCTCCACTGTGCAAAAACTAAAAGGTAAGATAACTCGAAATTAAATAAAAACTAAGATAATAGAAACAAATAATAAAAACTAATTGTTTTTCTATTGGGAGTAGGGGAGAGTAATGGGAATGGATAGAAAGTTTGTAGGAATGGGAATGGAGTAGAAGGATAAAAAGATGATAATTCTCTGAGTATAATCATATATAGTTCTGAATCTTAAAAATTATTTTATATTTCACATATCAATAACTAAAATAAAATAAAATGAACAAGGACAAGAGAAAATCCCAAAGCGTACTGTTTTCAAATAAATAATCTAACCACATCACGTAGGAAAAATGAATTAACCCAAATAATTCTTGAATAAAATATTTTTTATTTCTTTTGTTTGGTTTTTTGAAAATAGTCACAAATATGAAAAGGTAGGAGGCTAGAATGAACCTTATATTGTGGATTCAATTTGGAAGTATAATTTTGACCTCATTCTTTTTAATGTAGGTATATATAGAAATATATATATATATACACATATATATATGTATATATATACACACACACACACACACACCCATATAATGAGTGTAAGTGTGAATATATATACATGTATACATACACCATATATTCATATGTATTTATCCATATGTTTACATAGACATGAATATTATAAAGACATAGATTTCCTAGCTCTGTCTGTTGATAGGACCAGAAGCAGTGACACTCCAGTAGAAAAAGCACAATTAATACCTAGATCTTGTTTTCTAAATACCATTTCCCATTCAGATGAACCAGGGCTTCTTAGAGAATGGCTGATTTTAGAAACTGGGGTAGGAAACATACAATATGAATGAACATCTTGTGATTCCAGAAAGTAAGGAAGCATTCAAAAAGAACAACAACAACAACAACAAAAACTCAAAATGTTAGGAGTTTGTCAAAGAGACACATGAGTCAACTAAAAGAACTCCCAATGGCCAAAGCTAGAAAAAGTTGAACAATGAAAGAAATACAGTAGCACTGGTTTATAACCCAGACTATAACATAAATATCCATGAGTCTATAATCTTACAAATAAATGATTGAATAAATAAACAGAGAAAAATAGATGAGCTATTGAGCCCCCAAGGTGAAACATAACTTCCTACTCCTGAAATATGGACTATGAACAGTAACTTCTTTCAAGGAAGGACAACATGGAAAGGGAAATAAAGAGTAATTTTACAGTGAGAAATCTGACAAACATTACATCAGGCAGGCCATCAAGGTTAAAATCAACAAGTTATGTACATTTGATAATGATATGGTGAAAAGGCACTTTATCTCTGTGGTCTTCCTCCCAAGCCTAATCATAAGAGAAACATCAGACAAATCTTAATTTGAGGGACATTCTACTGAGTATCTGACCAGTTCTCCTCAAAACTGTCAAGGTCATCAAAAACAAAGAAACTATGAGAAACTGTCAAGAGAAGCCTAAGGATACATAACTAATAATTGTAATGTGGTATCCTGAGTGGAATCCTGGAAAAGACTTTAGGTAAAAGAAATCTGAATGAAGTATGGAATTTATTTAATAAGAATGTACCAACATTATAACAAATGTACCATATTATGGTTAGATGTTCGTATCTGGGAAAATAGGATGTGCTGCTTATGGGGAAAGATGGGCAAGAGGGAAATTTGGGGAAGTAATGCTATGTTCTAAAACTGGATATGGTGATGGTTGTACAATTCCATACATTAATCAAAAGCAAATATTTGTACACATCATGGGTAACTTTTATGGTAAATAATATCTCAATAAGTCTGTTTAAAAATGAATTGTTTGGTATATGTTCAAAATGAGTATAACCATAAAAAAATTCTTAAAACACTTTAAGTGTTGTTGTTCTAATTACCATATCAGGACCACACACAGATCCATCTTCTACAAATGTATCATCTCTTTCTTCAAGACTGTCAATTGTTGTCCATGGATTTTTATTTGCCTTGTTTTGGTTCCGATATGTAGATACACACATTTCTTCCCGTACATGTGTGTAAATCACAGATAAATTTGCACGTGACACTAATTCTTTGTGTGGCCAAGCACAAACTAATTTTCCACATAGAAGATGACTAGAAGCATAAGGCAGAAAAAATATTCTCTTTTTACTGAAATAACATAGATTGCTGATATACCTAAGTTTTTTTTTTTTTTAATTTTTTTTTTCAACGTTTATTTATTTTTGGGACAGAGAGAGACAGAGCATGAACGGGGGAGGGGCAGAGAGAGAGGGAGACACAGAATCGGAAACAGGCTCCAGGCTCTGAGCCATCAGCCCAGAGCCTGACACGGGGCTCGAACTTGGGGACCGCGAGATCGTGACCTGGCTGAAGTCGGACGCTTAACCGACTGCGCCACCCAGGCGCCCCTATACCTAAGTTTTTTTTAAAAGTGTCTTACTAATTTAACTCCAGGTCTCAATAATTTTCTCTCAGCAAATTTTTTGAGCACAGTGACTTATGTATGATGTGACTCTTTTTGTTTTGTGAGGCGAAGTGGCAAGGGAAAAATTAATGATATTTGCAACCTGACAGCCCTGATCTGTCTGATATTAGCTTATGAAATTTGAGCAAATTATCACTGGTTTTCAATTCTCTCATTAGTAAAACAGGATAAATAATTCTCACTATAAATATCGTTGTTATAACATTATAGGCACTGAGCACATGTTATTTGTAGGCAATGGGTAATACTGTTCAGCTCAGATCATGAAACAAAGAAATGTGTGATAAACTGCCATATAATAAGATATAAGATATATTATCATATACATTCTAGGATCTCGGCAATATATAACCAACATCCCAAACACAATTATAATTTTCTAAATACATACGCATAACTACAATGGTCTCGGCCACAGTTTCCATATCTATCTCCTCTTGAGTTTACTTCATCATAACAAGCAAATGGAGCACCTCTAGAAGCTGAAAGAAAAAAAATTTAAGTAAATTACAAAACATAATTCCAACAATCATTATATAAATAATAAACTCACTTTGGAAATTATAATGTGATACCTAAGGAGGCTTATAATTGCCTAGCATTAAAAAGTTGCTGGAGTAGATCTGATGAGAAGAGAGCTTCTCATTTTAAATCTATAGACTTTGTTCTACACCAAACAGAAAATAACCAGCAAAATTATTCAAATGCTGTTACATTATTAGGAATATAAGTAGCTATAGCTCTCTCTTTGTCCTCTAAATTGTTTACTTTCTGTCTTAGTTTCCTATCCAGTGTGAAAACATAGTTTGTTCTTAGTCCAAATGAAACAAGAGAGAAAGAGTATCTATAATGCAATGCTGATAAGAAACCCAAAGAGCATTTGACTTAACTCTTCTTCTTCCACACTTAAGCCCTCATCTCTGTTTCCTAGTATGCTAACAATCACTAAAAAAAAGAATTTTGAAGGGCTCCAGTCCCAAGTGGCAAACTTACGAAGACCCTGAATTCTCCTCCTTCCATGGACACACCAAATCTACATCTATTTATAGAGAAATTCCTCCTGAAGAACTGAGTACTGAGTGAATGGCTTCTACACAATGAAAGACAGAAAGACCATAAAGAGAATTACAAGAGAGGTGGAGACATGGTAGCAAAGGAAACTTCCACCCTTGATGCTCCAGTAGGGAGGGATAGGACTGAGGGACCATGAGCAGATTCATCTGCCCTGAAATCACAGGGGGAAAAGATGCAATTTAAAAGAGCAACTAAAATATAAAAGATGCAGTTCTAGAACTCCGCCAAATACTAGGAGAGCTGCTGGAACTCTCTATGGGTCAGAGGGGCTGGCAAGCACCACAGTTAACATATCCCCTCCACCTTGATAGCATAGGCAAAAGCAGGATCCTGATACCACAGCTGACAGTTTTCTCAGTGAGATCTGGGTCCTTGGCCCATACCAGCCCTGGACCCTATTGGCACAGATAAAAAGCTGTGGTTTAAAGGAGCAGCTAGAATATAAAAGAACTAGCCTTAGAATCTTGCCTCATGGCAGGGAAGTTACTAAAACTCCTTTGGGTTGGAGGGGCTGGCAAGCACCACGATTTGCATCCTCTTTCTACCTTGATAGCATGGACAGGAAAGGGGCCTGGGTGCCCTAGCTGGTCTACTACCTCAGTGAGTCCCAGGCTCCTAGTCCATGACATCCCCAGTAATCCCACCAAGGTGGCCAAAGCCACACCAGGGCACCCCTGGTCCATGCTCACTACAGCTCCAACCATCTTGCCCAACTGACATAGGTGCAAAGCACCCGGGGAACACACCAGGCCCATACCACCTTGACTATAGATGGATTTATGGGGGCACTCCCAGCTCAGAATGCCCTGGGACCTCCCAGCTCACACCTGCTTTAGCTCCAGCCACCCCACAAAGTGCCCTGGGAACCTCCAGCCCATGCCCTGCCTTGCTTTAGATACCCTGTGCATGGAGTGCCCTGGGACAACATGACCTTCACCCACTTCAGTTTCAGTTCTGCACTCTGTGCAAAGAGCTCTGGGACTCTCCCCTCTCCCTCCCACTGCCAGTTTGCACCCACTTCAGCTTGCAAGAACAAAGATCAAGGTTAGTTGAAGGAAGGAAAGAATAAAGATCAGAGTAGAAATAAATAAAAAATTTAACAACAAAAAAAAAAAACACAGAAGAGATCAATGAAATCAAAAGCTTGCTGGTTCTTTGAAAAGATAAACAAAATTGATAAATCTTTAGCCAGACTCATCAGGAAAAAAAGAGAGAGGACTCAAATAAATAAAATCAGAATGAAAGAGCATAAATAACAATTGACACCACAGAAATACAAAGAATTATAAGAGACTACTATGAAAAATTATATGCCAACAAATTGGATAATCCAGAAAAAAAATAGATAAATTCTTAGAAACATACAATCTTGCAAAAGTGAACCAAGAAAAAATAGAAAATTTAGGGGCATCTCAGTTAGTTGAGCAACTCTTAATTTTGGCTTGGGTTGTGATTCCAGGGTCATGGGATCAAGCCCCATGTTGTGTTCTGCACTGAGCATGGAGCCTGCTTGAGATTCTCTCTCTCTCTCTCTCTCTCTCTCTCTCTCAATCTCTCTCTTTCTCTTTCTCTCCCTCCCTCCCTCCCTCTGCCCCTCTCCCCTGCTCATGTAAACTCTCTTTCTTTAAAAAAACAATTTAACAAAACAAGAAATAGAAAATCTGAACACACCAATAACTAGTAATGAAATTAAATTAGAACTCAAAAAACTACCAAAAAATAAAAGTCAAGGTCAAGAATTCTACTAAACATTTAAAGTATAATTAATACCTATTCTTCTCAAACTTCCAAAACATAAAAGAAGAGGAAAGTTTCAAATATACTCTATGCAGCCAGCATCACCTTAAGACCAAAACCACATAAACATACTACAAAACAAAAACTGCAAGTCAATATCTCTGAGTAACATACATACAAAATTCTCAATAAATATCAGTAAATCACATTCAACAATATATGAAAAGGATCATCCACCACAATCAAGTGGGATTTATTCTGGGGATGCAGTGATGGTTCAATAATGTGGATACACCACATTAACAAAATGAGGGATAAAATCATATGATCATTCGTCATATGCAGAAAAAGTATTTGACAAAATTCAATAACCTTTTATGATAAATCTCAACAAAGTGGGTTTAGAGGGAACATACCTCAACATAATAAAAGTCACATATGAAAAACTAACATCAGACCCAATGGTGAAAAACAGCACTTTTCCTCTAAGATCAGGAAAAATACAAGAATGTCCACTCTCAACACTTTTTCTCAACAGTTACTATTTGCAGAGGACATGATACTATATATAGAAAAGCCTAAAGACTCCACAAAAAAACTATTAGAAGTAATAATTCAGTAAATGTGCAGAATTCATTAAACTTGCATGATATAAAATTAATATGCAAAATTTTCTTGTGCCTGTGTACACTAACAATGAAGTAGAATAAAGAGAAATTAATAAAACAACTCCATTTACAATTGCACCAAAAAATAATAAAATACCTGGGAATAAACTTAACCAAGGTGAAAGACCTGTACTCTGAAAACTAAAGCACTGACAAAAGAAGTTGCAGATGACACAAACTAATGCAAGATTCCATGGTCATGGATTGGAAGAATCAATATTATTAAATTTTTCATACTACCCAAAACATACACATTCAATGAAATCCCTGTCAAAAATTCAACAGCATTTTTCACATAAATAGAACAAATAATATTAAAATTTTTATGGAAGCACAAAAGACCTCAAACAGCCAAAGCAATGTTGAGAAAGAAGAACAAAACTGGAAGTATCACAATCCCAGGTTTCAAAATATGGTGCAAAGCTGTAGTAATCAAAACAGTATGGTACTGGAACAAAAAGAGACACATAGATCAACAGAACATAATCCAGAGACCAGAAATAAACCCATACTTACATTGTTAATTGATCTATGACAAAGGAGGCAAGAATATACACTGGGGAAAAGGCAGACTCTTCAATAAATAGTGCTGGAAAACTGGACAGCTACATGAAAAAGAATAAAAATTGGCCTACTTTCTCACACCATTCACAAAAATAAACTCAAAATGGATTAAAGACCTAAAGTAAGGCACAAAACCATAAAACTCCCAGAAGAAAACACAGGCAGTAATTTCTTTGACACCAGTCATAGCAGCATTTTTCTAAATATGTCTCCTCAGGCAAGGGAAAGAAAAGCAAAAATAAACTATTAAGACTACATCAAATTAAAAATCTTTTGCACATCAAAGAGAACCATCAACAAATAAAAAAGGCAATCTACTAAATAGGAGAATATATTTGCAAATGATATACCCAATAAAGGGTTAAGATCCAAATTATGTAAAAAAAAAAGCTCCAAATTATGTAAAGAACTTACACAACTCAACACCAAAAATAAGCAAACAATCCAATTTAAAAAGTGGGCAGAGGACCTAAATAGACATTTTCCAAAGAAGACATGCAGATGTCCAACAGACACCTGAAAAGATACTCATCACTAATTATCATAAAAATTCAAAGAAAAAACAAAATGAGACACCACCTTATACCTTTCAGAATGACTAGAATCAAAAAGACAATTAAAGACAAGGATGAACAGGGAGGGGGCAAAACAGAAGAGACTCATAAATATGGAGAACAAACAGGGTTGCTGGAGGGGTTGTGGGAGGGGGGGATGGGCTAAATGGGTAAGGGGCACTAAGGAATCTACTCCTGAAATCATTGTTGCACTATATGCTAACTAATTTGGATGTAAATTTTAAAAGTAAAAAAAATAAAAATAAAGACAAGGATGTAAAGGAAAAAGAACCCTTGTGCGCCTTTGGTAGGAATGTAAATTGGTATATCCACTATTGAAAATAGTATGGAGGTGCCTTGAAAAATTAAAAATAGAAATATCATATGATTCAGTAATTCCACTCTTGTGTATATACCCAAAAAAACAAACAGACAAAAAAAAACCATAATTCAAAAAGATACATGCATCCCTATGTTTATTACAACATTATTTACAGTAGCCAAAATATGGAACAACCTAAGCATCCATCAATAGATGAATGATTAAAGAAGATGTAATAGTCTTTATATATATATATATATATATATATATATATATATACACACACACACACACAATGGAACACTACTCAGCCATAAAAATAATGACATACTGACATCTGTGACAAAATTTATGGACCAAACGGTATTATGCTAAGTAAAATAAGTCAGAAAGAGAAAAACAAAAACCATATGATTTCACTTATATGTGAAATCTAAGAAACAAAACATGTACAAAAAGCAAAAACAAAAAGCAGAAACAGACCCATAAATGCAAAGAATAAATTAATGGTTGCCAGTAAGGAGTATGGGAGATGGGCAAATGGGTGAAGGGTAATGGGAGATACAGGCTTCCAGTTATGGAATTAATAAGTCATGGGGATAAAAAGTAAAACACAGGGAATATAGTCAATGGTGTTGTAATAGTGTTGTATGGTGACAGATGGTAGCTACACTTATGGTGAGCACAGCATAATGTATAGAGTTGTTGAATCACTACATTGTACACCTGAAACTACTGTAACATTATGTGTCAACTATACTTCAATTTAAAAAAAAGAATAATTTTTTGGCTCAGTCAGTTGAGTTTCTGACTCTTGATTTTTGTTCAGGTCATGATCTCAGGGTCATGGGATTGAGCCCCACGTCTGGCTTTATGCTGAGCACAGAAACTGCTTAAGATCCTCTCTCTCTCCTTCTGCCCCTCTCCCCCACTGACACTCTCTCAAAATAAAAAATAAAATCTTAAAAAAAATAATTACTGAATTTTAAAATCAGGAAGGACGCCAATGTGCACCTACTTCACCCTGTCATATGTTTAGTTATGTCTAATTTTTAAATCACAAAAAATTCAAATGTAATAATAGCTGCCCCATCACTTTGACTTGGTTATTTAGAGGTGTGTTGTGTTGATCATGTTAGTCACATGTAATAAGAACTGAGATCTTTTGTTGTCACCACTATTAATTGGCAAAGGAGCTCTCCTTAGCAACTTTATAGTTCTCATAGTTGAAGAACATGCTCAATAAACTTCATTCTCTCTCCTGACACAACCTATACACATAAAGGATGCTACAAAACACAATCTACAAATAGATTTGTGAGCGGAATCTACCATAAAAGCAATTCTCTTTTGAAAAGGCCTACTCTTGAACCCACCCAATAAGTAATTAGCATCTGTTTGCTTTGTCCCAAATTACTGATTTGATTTGATTTGGTTTGATTAAATCTAGTTCAAACTTCTCAAATCCTCCAAATTCTACCCAAGGACCAGGATTAGAATGGTGCAAAATTTAAATTTAAGGAGGTAGAGTAACAAAAACTCAGTACACAAATAACATCTTTATTTCCCCCATTATTTATTTTTGAGAGAGAGACGGGGGTGGGGGGGAGAGAGGAGGGACAGAGAGAGAAGGAGGCACAGAATCTGAAGCAGGCTCCAGGCTTCGAGCTGTCAGCACAGAGCCCAACGTGGGGCTCAAACCCACGAACTGTGAGATCATGACCTGAGGCAAAGTCTTACTCTTGGTTTTGGCTCAGGTCATGATCTCGCAGTTTGTGGGTTCAAGCCCCACATCGGGCTCTGTGCTGACAACATGGAACCTACCTGGTATTCTCTCTTTCTCCCTCTCTCTCTCTCTGCCCCATACTCTGTCTCTCTCTCAAAAATCAAAATAAAAATTAACTAAAAATTTGAAAGCAACCCAAGTGTTCATCAATGGATGCATGGAAAAATAAAAATGTGCTATATACACACAAACAATGAAATTTTATTCAGCATTAAAAAGGATAGAAATTTTGCAATATTCTACAACATGGGTGAATCTTGAGGACATTACGCTAAGTGAAATAATCAGCCAGTCACAAAAAGACAAATACTATATGATTCTACTGATATGGTACCTAGCATAGTCAAAATCAAAGATACAGAAAGTAGAATGGTGGTTGCCAGGGACTGAAGGAGAAAGAATGGAAAGTTATTGTTTAATAGGTATTGAGTTTCAGTTTTACAAGATGAAAAGTTATGAATGGCTCAATATGGCATACTTTACGTTATGTGTATTTTAACACAATAAAAAATTTGTGGAAAGACAAAAGAACCCATTTCATTTGATGTGTAGACATTGTCTTATATATTATTTAAAATAATTCAGCTAAAACATTTTTAAAGCTTCATTGCATTATTTTCTTACTAATACTAATTACTAATTAGTATTTTACTCTTAACATCATCTTTTAGGTGTTTACATCTAAATTTTAATTTCTTAGAGCTTGGGAACAATTTTCCCATCTTCTGTTCTTCCTAAAATAGACCTGATATATAATAAATATATGTGGATTTTTTGTTAAAAGGGAAACACAAAAAGAAGGATGTCTTATGCCACCATAATGCTGGCATTACTACCTCTAGCATTTTGTGTGAGGCAGGTCTAGTGGTCATGAATTCATTTGGCTTTTGTTTGGAAAGATTTTATATCCCCTTAATTTTTGAAAGTCAGTTTTGCCTGATATAATATTCTTTGTTGGTAGCTTTTTCTTTCAGTGCTTTGAATATATCTTCCCACTACCTTCTAGACTGTAAGATTTCTGATGAAAACTTTCCTCATAGTCCTATGGGGGTTCCTTTAGATGTAAAAACTTACTTTTTTTTTCTACTTAAAAAATCCTCTCTTTGTCTTTGAATTTTGGCAATTATATTATAATGTATTTTATGGATTTCTTTGGGTTTATCTTATTTGAGGTTATTTGGTCTTTCTCAATCTGGATATCCCATTTCCTTCTTCCAGCTTCGGAAGTTTTTAACCATTATTTCTTAGAATATGCTTGCTTTCTTTCTTTTTTAAAGTTTATTTATTTATTTTTAGGAAGAGTGAGAGAGAGAGAGGGAAAGAGAGAGAGCAAGCATGAGTGGGGGAGAGAGAATACCAAGCAGGCTCCACACTGTCAGTTCAGAATCCAATGTGGGGCTTGATCCCACAAACCAAATGTGAGCCAAAACCAAGAGTCAGATGTTCAACACACTGAGCTACCCAGGTGCCCCAAATGTGCTTTCTGATCCTTTTCTTCTCTGTTCTTTTTTCTGGAACTCTCATAATGCATATAGTCCCACTAATGGTGCTCCATAAGTCCTTTAAGTCACTGTTTCTCATTCCTTTATCTTATTTGCTCTTCTTAATCATTTCCAGTGACTTCTCCTTGAGTTCATTGGTCATTTTGTTTGCTTGATCTAGTCTGCTGTTGAATACCTCTAACGCATTTTTGAGTTGTTAGTATATTATAAGCATCATGATTTCTGTTTGGTACTTGGGGATCTGGACTAATGGATCAAGTCTTTGCCTCCCAAATAGAAAGCTGGGAACTAGGATTATTTATCTACTCACTTGGTGGTGAGCAGGAGGAGTACCATTGATGTCTAATAGCTCAAGCTGCCACCCCTGTTGCCCCTGGACATCTAGACAGTTCAGACCCATCAGAGCTCCCAGAACTGGCAGGACAGATTCCAGATGTTTGGGCATCCCCCTTGAAAATGTTTGCATGTTGGATATCTAAGCAAATCCTTCTCTGCTGGGTGAAGCTGAGAGCTAGATGTTTTCTCCCTGTTTGTAAGGCACTGCACTGTGGTAAGAATCTCTAACGAGAGGGTGTCTTGAATCTCCCTACTGGCTTTGGTAAGCTCTGCTTTGTTCTAGTAAAAACCTTGTTTCATTTAAGCCTAAACTAAACCCCATCACCACAAATTCTATATAATATTCTGACAAGTTGCATTTCCACTTGAGGTTTCTTCCTTTGCAAACAAGAATTCCATATAAATTCTGGATTTTTTTTTTTCATTTTTCAGAATCAAGAAAATTTTATTTCCTTTAACACTAATACATACTAGGCAAGATGTCACTCATTAAAAATCACATTTACTTTTGTTCTATAAAATTGAATAACAAAGCTTATAATAATCAGAATTTAGGAACTAAGGAGAAAGTTATGGTCATTACCTCCTCCAATCAATTCTTTACACTGTTTGGTAAATATGCGACATCGTCCTTTGTAACAGAAGGAATCGCCTGAATCACAACTTTGTCCATTACGTGCATAAGTGTCAGGCATACAGTGTGGGGAAACTCCATTGCAATATTCAGTGAAATCACATTCGTCATATGATTTCCTACACTGTATACCAATTGATTTTAGCTAGAAGGGAAAAGGAACATAAGAAAAGATTATGCATCAATGATACTCAAGTTCTACTTCCCTTCAAGTTTTAAATTTTCACTCATTTACTTTTTCCTAAGTTGCTAAGAGCAATGAGAAAATTAAGTCTTCTCATTAACTACTTAAGAATTGCACAGAAATTTAAAAAACTAAATTTACTGTGGATAAAGGAGTGGATAATGCTCGTGAGAGAAGTGAGAAATTCAAAGATAAGAAGACTACCATAATTTTTTTTAATAAAAAAAAAAGAAAGACAAAAAGCACAGCTAAGGAATTAACATAAAAATTACTTTCAAAAAAGTTACTTCCAACCCATTATGGCTATGCTCACATGGACAGCCTCTGGTTTCTCCATATGCTGTTCCTTAAAGCAGAAATCAACCATTTACAAAACAATAAATATACATGATAAAGATTTAGAAAACAGTTTCTAGATGTTTTTAAAGGTAATTTAAGGACACACAGGAAATGTTTATTTCACATATCATATTGTAAACAACTGTAAAAAAATAATGTCCTCAATTACATATCTCTGATCTCTTTAGCACTTATGCTTTAGCTAATAGCTTCCAGGATTCATTTCCTGTATACCTGTCTTCACCAACAAATACCCAAATATCATCACTGCAAACCCTTTCCTCAACCTAAGCCCCAGTTCCTCATCGCTATCATCACTATCCTATGCAAACCAAGTCAAATTTGTTCTAGCTTTCAAAGGTCCTAGAGGCTCAACCTCTGTAACATTCACCACCCCCCAAAATAGGTTTTCTGTATACTTTTTTCCATGTTGGCAAGTATTTGCAATATATAGCAATTCTGACACAAATTCTTCAAGTGATGGGTGGGAAGACAAAACACAATACTTGTGTCACCCAAGCTTATGGAGTTAACAATCAAATAAAAAACAATGATCAAAATTGTTTCTAAAGGAAAATACATATAAGTATAATGAAAAAGTATTAATATTACTTTCTTTAAAATATGCTTCCTGTTATAAATATGTATAAATGGAAATATTACATTTATTCTAATTTCCTCTATTGTTATGACTGTCTCTTATAGCAGTTTAAGGGCCACAGAAAATATGAGGGGTAAGTACAGAGACTTCCCATATAACCCTTGATCAGCACATACAAAGCCTCCCCTCTAATCAACATCTCCAACTGGAGTGGTACATTTGTTACAATTGAACTTATGTGACACATCATAATCACTCAAAGTCCATAGTTTACATGAAAGTTCTTTCTTGTTGTTATATATTTTATGGGCTTAAACATATGTATAATGACATGTATCTATTGTTATGGTATCTTACAAAGTATTTCCACTGCCCTAAAAATCCTTCATGCTCTGCCCATTCATCTCCCCTTCAGTCCCTGACAATCACTGATCTTTTTATGGTCCTTTTTATAGTCTGACCTTTTCCAGAATGTCATATATTTGGAATCATAGAGTCTGTAACTTTTTCAGATTGGCTTCTTTCACCCAACTTCTTTTTCAATACTACTTATAAATGTGCAGTTCCTCAAATGTTTTATCATCCTACTTGCTCCTTTATTAAGAGGTGTTAATAGGGGCGCCTGGGTGGCGCAGTCGGTTAAGCGTCCGACTTCAGCCAGGTCACGATCTCGCGGTCCGTGAGTTCGAGCCCCGCGTCGGGCTCTGGGCTGATGGCTCAGAGCCTGGAGCCTGTTTCCGATTCTGTGTCTCCCTCTCTCTCTGCCCCTCGCCCGTTCATGCTCTGTCTCTCTCTGTCCCAAAAATAAATAAACGTTGAAAAAAAAATTAAAAAAAAAAAAGAGGTGTTAATTTTTCTTTACTTGGCTCCCTAATTCCAAAATGGCCCTAAAACTTAAAAATGGCTGACTCCTTGTTTCTGAAGTGCTTTCTCTTAAAATCTTTTTTGTTTTTTTATTTTGTTTTTAATTTATTTTTATTTTTTGCCAAGACTTTCAGTCTGTACATGTAATGTGTCATTCATTGTCAGGGCTATGACCCTTTACACAACTAATAAGGAATGGGTGGATTAATTTATTGCCTCTGACCATCACACCAGCCTTGACTGCATAGTAAAGAGAGTATTATGTATATCAGAAAATTCATAGCTTGGGCTATGTACCTTTTGATAATTAGGCCCAACGACTATTCCAGTCTCAATAGCACTTGCTCACATATCCCTGTTGATACAACTGGTTTAAGTTATTCCCTTTTGACGCAGCAATGTCAGGAAACTGAGTAATCTTCTATACTTCTTGTGTTTGATAGGTTAGTCAATTTTTTTAAAGTTACCCTTAATATGAATAATTATGACTAAATTATATCAAATAATGGAAAAGGAGAGTAACATCAGCAAATGTTAGAATAGGAGATTCCTGGCTGCACATCCACACAGAAATGCCTGTTTTAACAACTACCTTGAATGACAATCTGGCTGAAAGGTTCTAGTCCCCAGGTGAAGCAAAAAATCTGAGAGTAGATTCATTGGAAGATGGTAAGAACAGTTTGATTTTACCCACATTATCTGTTCCTCAAGGTGGCACAGCTCAATGCCAAGAGAGACTCTTGGCTTGTGATTTCTCTGACAGAGGAAAATAAAAGTGATGAGAAGCTGGTTTCCCCAGCCCTGCAAAACACTGTCCAAGAGACTTACTTTTGTCTCACCCAACTCAGACCACTTAGGGAATTGGCATACTTAAATAGTCTTGGGATACCAAGGAGTAGGGAAAAGAGATGGGGGTTCACATCAACTAGCACATAGATTACAACAACCAGCCACATATCTAATTAACTGTCTTACAGACTTCAGCAAGAACCTCACCCATGAGCCAACAGGATGCATTATCTGAGGACACCCACAACAAGCCAACTAACACCCCCAGTACTCCACACTCACAACCTGTCGCCAGAACGACAAACTCTCCAGCAGATGGCACACATGAGGCTCCAACAAGTGGGCACAATACTGCAGACAACACATGGATGTCAGCACCTGGCTGGACTTTGCTGAATTGCACAACCTTGAACACTTCAAGGCACTGTTTTATGGAAATTTTCTGAGGGGCTCTCCATAGCCATACTGACTTTCTGGGATTGAGAGAAGGTGTACAACCCTAAACTCTGGCCCTCTGGAGGTGTGAAACAACCCGGGAAGAGGAGTGGAACAAGCACACCCATAAAAAAGGTCTGAGAGACTCCCAAAACTCTAGTTGGTCTGACTACTGACTGGTTTCTTTCTCTCTCAAAGCCAGCTAGTAAACACTAGAAGAGATGTGAAACATTTCAATTGTGAAGGCAGCAGTTCAAGACTTCAAGAAACATCAAGAATCAAGGAAACGTGATGCCAACAACAGAGGTCTTGTGGAAGACAAATGAAAGAAATGGAAATGTACAAAGTGTCTGACAAAAAATTAAAAATAATCATCATAAGCTCAGACAAGAGAGCACAGATAGACATAAACAAAATCAGGAAAACAATACATGAATGAAATGAGAAGTTTCACAAAGAAAAGAGAATTTTTTTTAAAAAGAACCAAACAGAAGAAATTCTAGATCTGAAGAATACAATGACTGAACTGAAAAATTCTATTAAAAAGCTTTAAAGGCACAGCTGATCAAGCAGAAGAAACAGTTAACTCAAGGGCAATCATTTAAAATTATCCAGTCAGAAGAACAAAAAAGAAAAAATATTAAAGAGAGCCTATGGCTTGGGGCAGTTAATATGGTGTAGTAAGGGGATCCTGGGTTTGTCTTGTCCCTTGAACATAGCTAGATGGACATCAAGCCATTTTGAATACCTAGGGAATTGATCTGAGGACTAACAGAACAACCTGTATAATTTGAGGGAGAGAACACAACAGGTACATGGTGCAAAGAGGTGAACTGGGGGAGAGAATAGCCACAGTGCCGGTGCCACAGAGGGGAGACAGCCGTTTTCCCAGAGAGGAGAAAGATGGGAGGTAGGAGGAGAAGTGCATCAGATTTGCATAAGAAAGCACTCCCCCCTGAAAGCAGCAAGAGAGAAAGAGTGAAAACATCCATAGGGGACTGCATAAGAAAACTGTTCCCCAAAACCACTGACAGAGGAAAAAGGACAGTTTCAATACCACCAGTATTTTCTACGAAGAGTGGAGCACAGAGTCTGAAGTTTCAGAGGTCAGCCCCTGGTGGTGTTCCCAGGAGGAAGCAGGGTGGAGCCCCTGGAGTGTGCAGAGCCATCTGAGGATAACCTGGGTTGCTCAAGGAGAAGCAGTTCCCCTGCTTGGAGTATGCTTGGTAGAGATGATACAGCCTCTCTGTGGGCAAAAGACAGGGCTGGCACCATCAAGCTGCCACCTTCACCCATTCACCCGTAAAGGAACACAGACACTGGCTGAAGGCAGCATACCCTGGTGCCAGTTGTGTGTTGTGACTTCCCATTAACTCTGAGCCCCTGCCACTGAGCAGTGGCATGACTATTTCCTGAGACATGCTGGCCACAGTGTGGTGACACCCTCCCCCAGAAGATCACTGCGTCCAAATCCCAAGGGTCTCTGAAGTATTTTGAAACACAACCATACCTGATACAAAATTCTGGAAAGAGATGCTGCCTGGTAGGCAGACATCTGGGACACAGGGGAAGGCAGGGTGCTGACAGAAGTGGGGGATATAAGAGCGGTGACTGATATGCAATCCTGTGTCTGTGAGGGCATGAATTTCCTACTCTGGAGACTAGACAGTAGTGTGAAGCCATTTTCACCTTTAGTCCACCAATACTGTCGGACACCAGGAAGCTAAAAAGCATGACCAAATGGAGAATGGAGCTGTTACACCAAGAGCCCACACACTCCGGCCCTCGAGGCACATCTCCACTAGAGCAATTAGGATTCAGAATCAGAACAGCAAGCTCCTCCCTCAGAAGACCAGCGTGAATCCCTCCCACGAACTTAATCTACTGCCCACAGACTGCTGCAAGGTTTTAGCTCTAGGGGAAACTGGATCTA